ACATGATGACATGAGACCTTAAAAAGCTGGAACACTGCTGGTAGCTCATGATTGTAATCTTGGCTACCCCAAGGCTGAAATCTGAGGATTGAGATTTGAAGTCAGTTTGAGTAGAAATGTCTGTGAGAATCTTAACTCCAAATAACCACCAAAAAGCCAAAAGTGGAGATCAAGCCTTGGGCTCATGATCTAAGTATCAGCATTCAGGCTCTGAGTTAAAGCCCTAGGCCCAGCACACACACACACACACACACACACACACACACACACACACACACACACACACACAGTTGAAAGATGCCGTTGCCAGTGGCTCATACCTGCAGTCTTAGCTATTCAGGACACTGACACCTGGGAGACAGAGGTTTAAAGCCTGTATGGACAGAAAGGTCTGTGAGACTCTCTGTCTTCAATTAACCAGCCAAAGGGCAGGCTGGAGGCATGTCTGAGGTGGTACAATAGCAGCAGAGCAAGCAAAGCTGAACAAGTGTGAGTTTCTCAGTTAAAGCCCAGATATTGGCCTCAAAATAAAAAAAGTAAAAACAACAACAAAATTCCCCCAAATAAAACAAAAATACCCCACATGACATGTATGAATACAATTGCAAAATACAAACATTAGGGTCCTTAGCAGAGAACTAGAATCCTTCAGGATTTGTTACACGGCAGATTGTTTCTGTGGAATGTAAGAGCTGGGAGAGGTCACTGATGACACATTTCCAGGTGTTCCTGCCGCTGCTGGTCTGGGGATCAGCTCCAGAACGATGACTTCAGACAGATGGCCACAGCCTGCTGAGGACATGAGCACTGAACGGCCCCCCTGGGTGCCATGTCCGAGTCACGCCCAGGTCCAGACAGGATTGGCTGCGTTATCTTCAGAATTCTGAATTTTCCCCCTCTTGAATCTATTTTCCTTTGAGGTAATTTTAGACTTGCAGTCAAGTTATAAAAACAGTATAAAGCATATCCACGTACCTATCACCCAACTTCCTCTGATGTGAAATGCCTTGCGTAAGCAGAGAGCCGCTATGAAAACTCAGAATAAAACTTTTGAGACCACACTATTAACTTGACCGCCACATTTACTGGCCTCCACTCTCATTTCCTCTTTTAAGGTCCTTTTAATGGTCCCAGATCCAACCCGGGATCCCCAATTGCATTTAGTTCCAGAGTCCATCCCAAATCATAATGACTTATCACGGGTCTTCTGTCTCCTCTGAAGTACAGTGGTTCTTCTGTCTCATCTTCCATGACCTTGAGCCCTACCTCTCCTATACTAGGGGTCAAGTCCAAGTGTCCTGACACCAAGAGCTGTTCTCATCATGCAGGTGGCCTAAGCTAGCCACAACGCAGCTCCAAATGGGTACCCATGACCTGTGTGGAATAGGAGATGACTTCAGGGGCCCTGGTGTGGAAATACTCAATGTCAGCTCCCAGGGTGAGAAAGTGACTCTATTTGCCTGGCAGGCTTTTTGCTTACTAGGAGAGAATGTCTCTGCCCAGTGCTGTCGTGTCTTTAGCTCCTCTCCACACTTGCCGATCTGTTTTGACAAAGGGAGGAGAGGCCTGAGGCTTAGAGCCTAGAAACTGGCTGGAATTTATTAAAGTAGTTTGATCTTCATTTTTATTGATTTTCCTAATTACTGTAGTCCCTATCTATAGCAAGTGATAACAGGCTCTTCCATTTAGTGAGTGTGCCAAAGTCTCTTTTTGAAACAAAGCTAATTAAAAGCTGAGCTGATTAAAATGCAAAGACGACACAGCAGTGTGGAGGTCTGGGCCACGTGGTGAGTGGTGTGGGACGAGACACAAGAGAATCAGGAAAGGCTGCATCACATTTATATGTCACTGAGAGTCCTGAGGCACTCCATTGTGAGTCCAGCGGTCTGAAACTCATGGGCCTATGAGGAGACCCTGGGCCCTCAGGGTGGGGCCTGGGCCAATCACAGTGACTTCTGTGAACATCCATACTCCTATTGGCCAGCAAGATACCAGGGCAAGGCAACAGGACCTGGGACTGGGTAGCCAGAGGGTGAAGGGACAGAATAGGGTAGCATAGACAGAACTGATGAAGAGCTCTGGAGGCAGGTCAATGGGGACTGAGGTGACCAAGAAAAATCATGGCTTTCATTACCCAGAAAATGCACGTCTGCTTCCATTTAGATCCAAGTATGTGTCTGCAGCAGTATTTGGCAACATACGGGCTCTGGGTCTGGAATTACATCATTGACTGTCTGTCTAACAGTGTCCTTGTTGGCCAATTCATGCCTAGAGTAGCTGTGGACAGATTGAACTAATTAAGAATTCATAGTTTTGTAAAGGTTTTTTTTTTTTTGGCACCTGTTACTACCATCCTTCTTTCCATCTGTCCTACCATCTGTCCCTTCTTCCATCTGTTCTTCATCTTTCCTTCCATCATCCTTCCTTCCCCTTTCCCTTCCTTCCTTTTCTTCCTTCCTTTCCTCCTTCCTTCCTCCCTTCTTTCTTTCCCTCTCTCCCCTTTCCCTCCCCCTCCCTCCCTTCCTTCCCCCTTTCCTTCCTTCCTCCCTCCCTTTCTTTCTCCCTCCCTTCCCCTCATTCCTTCCCTCCCTCCTTCTTCTTAATCACCCTCCACCATAAAGTATTATACTTTTCTTCTTGCACTGGACCTCCAATGTTCCCATCATCAATCTTTCAACCTAAAGAAGAACAAGCTCATTCTCTGAGACCCAGAGGCGAATTTTAGGAAGTTCAAGCTCACTTTTTAAAAACTGTAGCTTAAAAGCTTGTATCATTTCCATACCCTACTTACAGAAGCCATCCATTGTGACATCTCTGCCAAAATCCTGCCACAAAATCCTGCTCACCTCTTTGAAGGTGATCCATACTTCTTCTGATGCTCCTTGGTCTCCCAGAATATTCCAACCATCCCTAGGGACACACACTGGAGATGCAAGGACCTGCTTTATGCTAGTCCCTATACCAGGAATCTGCAATTGCTAGGGGTCAGCACCCAAGCTGTTCTCAGAGCAGAGCCTAGGGGGCAGCTTGCTCTGTGGTCAGGGATTCCTAACAGGGACCCAGCAGCAGATCAAGGATGCTTTCCAGTGATGAGCGAGGCAGATAGTGGTCTAAGCTTTCTTAGTGTGGAGTTTTGCAGCTCTTAAGTTCAAAGCAAGGAGGCAGCCTATCACACTTCTGCAATTGCACGCCGGAGTTGCAAGGAAGCATTGGGATTTGCAAGCTAGAGGAAAGAGAGTCACCTGCAGAGAGATATGGGAGGGCTGGAAGCTGGGTGGAGGAGGGGCCAAGAGCCCTGAGTTCACCCATCATTTTCCTCCCACCCTGTAACCACAGACAGGAGTGATCTCTGGTGCCCCACTTTCTTATGTTAAGATCAAGGGGGCTGGAGGAGGTGTGCCTGGTGGTTCTCAGCTCTCAGGATCATGCTCTACCTTCCTTTTACATTTGCCTTTGGTTTTCGACTTTCTCTTCTTCTTTTGTTTTTCAGAGCTGAGGACCAAACCCAGGGCTTGAGAATGCACCAGGCAAGCACTCTTCCACTAAGCTAAATCCCCAACTGCGACTTTCTTTCCTGTATAGGCCAGTCTCACCTCTTCATTTCTGAAACTGGTGTGTACACACAACTCTTAGCTTGTTAACACAACGGAGGTCTGCTATTATTTCTAAAAAGTTCTCTCCCATGTCTACAAAGAAGGTCAATAGCTTTCCTTCCTGGAATGGATGTTGTAATGGCATAGGAGACTCACATAGACTTATAGTGGACCAGACCAGAAAAACCACTCTTCACTTATAGCCAACATTCCAAGATTCTGGTACTCCCTTTTTTCCTGACCACAATAAATCTCTGTTTAATTAGATTCTCTCCTTCATAGCCCACAATGAGTACTCAACAAACTTTATTTAATAAAATGAGAATTTATTAAATTTTCAACTCTAATAAATAGTCAGCAATGGGCCCCCAAGCCCTAGTAAAAATGAAATGGTCTATGTGACCGTTCAAAAAGAAAACGTTAAACTAGGTTCTTTAGTTACAAAAGTGAGTCTCTCTCTCTCCCTCCCTTCCCCAGCCACCAGCTTAGTGCAATCTAAAGGCCTGAAGTGGAATCTTATCTTCTTCCCCCACTGAGGTCCCAAAGACACCTTAACCAAACCTGCTCTTAAAAACACAAAGGGCAACTGAAAGCCAAGAAGTTGGTATAAAGAACAGGTAGGATGGTGCTTGTGGCTCATACCTGTAATCCTAGCTACCCAGGAGGCTGAGAGGTGAGGATTGTGGTTTGAAGCCACTCTGGTCAGTAAAGTCTGTGACACTCTAATCTCCAATTAGCCACCAGAATGCCAGAAGTGGAGCTGTGGCTCAAGTGATAGAGCCAGCCTTGAGCAATAAAAGCCCAGAGACAGAGCCCAGGTCCTGAGTTCGAGCCCCAGTTCTGGCACTCCCCCTCCCCCCCCAAAAAAAAAAAATCAGGCTAGATATTTTTCCCTATCCACAGAACAAATCCATTGGGAAGGAAACCCTAGCAGAAAGAAGAAGGTCTAGGCACATTCTGGAACTTTCTTTCCCTTTTCTTGAAGATTCAGCGATTTCGAATTCCAGGACGTCTTAGTGTCTTCGGGTTTTTGGTTCCCAACTAAGAGCAGAGTGGGCAGGAAAGCAAGGCTGAGGTGAAATCTGCGATGAAGAGATGATCAGCCCCTTTCGTCCTGGGTTGCCTGTAGGATTTCATTTTGCAAAGACAGACCGAACTGGGCTGGAAGAACAGCCGTTAAGACCTGGGCGAGGAAGCTTCCCATTCATTCCAGACCTGGACGGTGGCTGTTTCGGTTGGGGTTATGGTCAGATTTTGAAAGTTGGGGTTGGACTAATGGGAAACAGCTCCTGATGTGGGACTAGAGAGAGGCAGAGCTGAGCTCACACTGTGAATGACATCCTCCACGGCCTCTCAGCTTCGGGGCCGCGCCGGCCCCGCCCACCGGCCCCGCCCACCGCGCCGGCCCCGCCCACCGCGCCGGCCCCGCCCACCGCGCCGGCCCCGCCCACCGCGCCGGCCCCGCCCACCGCGCTGGCCCCGCCCCGCTTCTACCTGTCCCCACTGGTCTCTGCCAACCTATTGTTCATGATGGCAAAGGCGCCCACGCCTCCAGAGAACTCATCATCCAGGGCCTGCGTGCTGGGCTGGTGGGGGCCGCCATTGGCCATCTCTGACAGCTGCTTCTGCAGGATGGCCAGCGAGACCTTGTTGGAGTCCTTCATGGAGATCATCTCCCCCGAGAGGCGACGGCCGTCCGTGTCGCTCTCCGCCACCCCGTCCGTCTCTATGGAGATGTTGCCCTTGCTGCGCACGTTGCCCGGCATCACCACGTTCCGCCTGGACGGCAGGAGTCTCCGCTGGCACTGTTGGAAGCACCGGCCGTCTATCTTCCTCAGGATCCAGTTCACCGTCTGCTTGATCAGGATGGAGATGACGTTGAACAAGGAGTAGATGCAGCAGACGCCCGTGAGGATGAAGACGAAGTTGGCGAAGCGGTAGAGGCCCTGGTTGTCATACTGGGCGTTCTGGCTGCTGACCAGGTCCCCAAAGCCAATGGTGCTAAAAGCCACAAAGCAGAAGTAGAGCGAGTCGAAGTAGCTCCAGCCTTCCATAGGAGTGTAGAGGGCTGATGCTCCGCAGGAGATGAGCACCGAGGCCGAGCACAGGATCAGCATGACATAGTACACCGAGGGCTTCCAGCCCGCCAGGCTGTCCGCCTCGCCCTTCCTGGGGGCCTTCAGGCTGTCCTGGGGCAGCGCTCCCCGTCTGCGCAGCTGGCGCTGATGGCAGGACCTCATGATGTAGGCGATGACGGTGATGAGACGCTCCAGGAAGAGGTTGAAGAAGAGGATGGTGCTGGCACACCCGATGAGGCCGTAGAAGATCAGGAAGATCTTCCCTCCGACTGTCGCCGGGGTCGTCATTCCAAACCCTGAAGGGGACAAAAAAAAATCAGAAGAGAGTCAGAGAGGGTTGGCATGTGGACGAGTGGAGGGCATGGCTTTGATGATTAGCACGAAAGACCCGAAGCAATTGTTACTAAACAACAACAACAACCCAGTCTTGCCCTTTCTGGCAAAGAGAGGGGAGCGTCCCACCTCTGTTGGAAGGCACTGGTGCTGCTCTGCGCACGGAGCCCCGCTGCTGTAAGCCCATATGCTACGAATCTATATGCGGGAAAAGAAACACAAACACATAGAGAGCTGGATGGATCTGGTTCATGTCCTCACACAGGTCTGGCTCGAGGAGATGTGAATTGTGTGCTACGTGTTCTGCTAGAGGAAGTTCGGGGTTTGATGGGAGGTGCCAAGGGGAGCCCCCTCACAAGTGGGGCTCTAGGAAGACCCCACAGGGAAAGTTCAAGGTGAAGGTGTGTGTGTATTAGTCGGGGTATGGTGGAAATGATCCAGACTGGAAACATATGCCAGTATAGGTAACCGTGAGAAATCACCCATGATTTTCTCAGTTTAAACAAAACTCTTTGGGGTGACAACAGAGGTGTGGAGAGTTACAAGTTGATGAAACATAAAATGTCTCTCAATTTCCACCTGCTTGGTTTTTCTACCTAAGTACACAGACATGTAGCTAAAATTGTATATTGTAAGACTGTGTGTGTCATTAAGAAAATACAGATAAACCTGGGTGCAGTGGTATATCCCTCTAACACTAGCACTTGGGAAACTGAGGAAAGGATGAAGGTATATTGAGTTGAAGCCCAGCCTGGGGTATATAGTGAGACCCTACGGTGCCAGGTACCGGTGGCTCACGCATGTAATCCTAGCTACTCAGGAGGCTGCGATCTGAGGATAGCTGTTCAAAGCCAGCCCAAGCAGGAAAGTCCCTGTGAGACTCATCCCTCATTAGCCACTCAAAATCTGGAAGTGGAACTGTGGCTCAGAGTGGTAGAGCACTAGCCTAAAAAAGAACTCAGGGGCAGCACCAAGGCCCTGAGGAGTTCAAGCCCCACCACCAACAAAAAGCCAAACAAACAAACAATAAGCAAAATCACCAGAAATGTAAAACAGACCATTGATACACATAGCATTTGTCAGAAGGGGCTGGGAGGTCAGCCCACTCCCACAGGAGGGACCCTGATGCTTCCAGCAAATGACACAGTGCACGGCAACTGCCTGGTTTGTTAAAGGACTGGCCTTAGTGGGAAAAAAAAGGAGGGGGGAGCTGAGCAGGCAGGCATCCTTGGAATCGTTTCTTATTCAGATCAAATCTGCTTTTTCACCACACTTTCCTCTATTTTTAAGTTTACTTTCTTTAGTGGCTCTCTTTACTGAGATCTAAAGGACTCATCCATTCTCCCTTCCTGAAGGTTCCTCTTTATCCTCAAGCCAGACCTTTCCTTGTGGCTGAAGCTCAGCCAGTGGATGCCATGTTACAGCTTGAGATGTATGAGCCTGTGGGATTAGGACCAGTCAGTCGGTCTCCTGAGGTTGAGCTAACCCCTCCAGATGTGCTTCTGTAGGAACATCCAGCTCCCCAATTAAATCCCTTCACGCCAAGAGCTGCATTTGGGTAGGAAGTGAACAGCTGGGAACTAGAAGAAAGGAAGTTCCTGAGTTCAGCTTTTTGCTGGATGGAGTGGAATGGGGGGTACAGGATGTTTCGGTAAAGAAAGATTGAGAGACAGAAAGCAATCCATTAGGAGTTGGTTGAGGCTTTGGTGGTAGAAAGAACTAAGTCAGACCATCATCTCTCCTTTGGGAATTCCTTTTTTTTCTTTGTCCTGGCACTGGGGGTTGAATTAGGTATTTTATACTCTTGATAGACTTTTTTGCTTGAAGCTAGTACTCTATTACTTGAGCCACAGCTCTACTTCCAGCTTTTTGGTGGCTAGTTGGAGATAAGAGTCTCATAGACTTTTCTATATGGGCTGGCTTTGAACCACAATCCCCAGATGTCAGCTTCCTGAGTAGCTAGGATTATAGGTAGGAGCCTATAATCACAGCACCCAGGTTCCTTTGAGAACCCTTATTGTCAAAATCAAAGTGCCCTCAGCCCTGGAAGTGGCAATCTTATAAAGTTTTATAAAGAATTTTGCAGTCTGTTCTCCTGTTAGGATCCTTAATTCCAACTTCCAAGTTTAAGCTGCAATGGAGATTGTTGAAGTTGTGGAGAATTAAGTATAATAGCTAAGCTGAAAACAATGGTTTTGCGTATTTTTTAAACCCAGTCCGAAAGACCACATACTAACCACGGTGTTGTATAATTAGTTCCTCACTATCTGAGAAATTTCAGTGTTCTGCTCCAGTGAACTGTTGGAACCAAGAGAGCTTGCAAAATTTACCCCACTAGGGAGGTAGCAAAGTGAAGGCCTGGAGGCGTCACAACTCCAAAGCTATGCGACCAGAGAGCACCACTGCTCCTGTTACCAAACACAGCCAGCGACGGACAGCCATCTGCTAACCTTATAATATCCCAGAAACTGGAAAAAGTTCGTGAAAATGAGGAAGGTTCAGACACAATCAGTGAAAGGCATCAGTGGCTTTATAAAAAGAGAGACCCAGCTGGGCCAACTAGTTCAGGCCTGTAATCCTAGCTACTCAGGAGGCCGAGATCTGAGGACTGAGGTTTGAAGCCCGCCTAGACATTTAAGCCCATGAAACTCATCTCCTATTAACTACCAAGAAAGCGGAAATGGGACTGTGGCTCAAGTGGTAGAGCACTAGCTTTGGGCAAAAAAGCTCAGTGACAGCCCCCAGACCCTGAGTTCAAGCCCCAGGAGATGTGTATGTGTGTGTGTGTGTGTGTGTGTGTGTGTGTGTGTGTGTGTGTGAGAGAGAGAGGGGGGGGAAGAGAAAGAAAGAGAGAGAGAGAGGAGGCCAGAGGAGGGTCATTTGCTCCCTTCTCTTCCCATATGATCTGCACACCTCAGCCCCTCTGTAACAAGGCCACCGACAGATGCAGCCTTGCAACCTTGGATCTCTACAACTGTGTAAGACAAAGTAAGCCTCTTTATTCATACTGTTACCTAGCCTCAAGTATTTTGTTATAATAATGAAAACCGACTGCTGTACTGGGAAAGGAGTACTGCCAATAGGGTAGTATTTTTAGTATGTGATACCCCTTCTGGCAGAAGGTGAGGAGCCTATAAAAGCTAAGTAACTTCCTAAAGTCGTACAGCTGGAATTGTAACCTAGCTCATGCTTTTCCTACCTTGATTATGCTGAGTGCAAGCCACTTTCATGTCTACAAGCCATTAGTAGAATTGAGGGAAGGAAATAAATTGGGCATTCAGAGTTCCATGCTTTATATAGACACCCAAACTACAGTGACCACCAAATCAGGTATCAACATCATAAGAAATTAGCTGTTATTTGAAGCTGAAAACCTACAACAGTTTTTTTTTTACTTATTAAAATACACACTTCTTAGAGGAACACAAAAATGCAATGCCTATATGCCTCTGATCATATAAAATAGTACTTATTGAAATGAATTCCAGGAAATGGAAAAAAGCAGCTTTTTTCTTTTTTCTTTGCTGTTTTTTCTTTTCTTTTTTGTCTTGTTTGTTCAACTATCTGTCTTTGGGAGGGTGGGGGGGCACAGAAATGGAGAGACAAAGGGTGAACAAGTGCAGCAGTGATACTAGACATCAGGTTGAAAATGAACTATACAACTTGTGGGTGGGGATGGAAGGGAAATACTGGGAGAGAGCAGGGGAATGGGTGACATTGTCCAAAAAGAAATGTACCCTTCACCTGACTTACATAACCGTAACCTCTCTGTACATTGCCTTTATAATAAAAAGATAAAAAAATAAAATACATATTGCTGAATGTATGGGTGTCCGTTCAAATCATATAATTAAATCAATCTAAAGCCTGTTCACCTCATGCATTTCCATCTCTTTCTTAGGTGCAATGAATGAAACAAATTGTTACAGGTGGTGCTGTGAATATATAATTCATTTCCTGTGCTTTAAGCCTGGAATGATCTGATTTATGTTCAACCCCAAGTCTGGGAGCAGCTGAGCTGCGTGAGGTCCAAGGACACAGAGATGTTGGTTTGGAGGTCAGTGAAGGTCATGTCTATTGTGGATATGTTAATTTAAGATATGTCTTCAGGCAGCTTCGCATTCCAATCCAGGCTCCCTGGTACTGTGGGAGGAAGCCACCAGGAACTCAAGGTCAAAGTTGACCCTATGGAGCCCTTCATTAAGACCAAAGTTTGAGGAAGGGCAAAGTCTAGAGTCTCTCAGACTTTTAGCTGCTTGTTTTTCCCCCCAAAGTCAATAATGGTGAAAAAATAAAATATATGATTTTTCAAATAGACATAAAGATGAGAGAGTAGAATAAGTAAGCCCTTATTTCCCAAATTCAGACATGATCAACATTTTGCCAGTTACCTTACTCATCTTTCCATTATTGTGACAAAATGGCTGAGAGAAACCAATACAGAAAGAGAAAAAAGGTTATTTGGTTCACACAGTTCAGCGATTTCCATCTGCAGTTGTTTGGTCTGTGGCTCTGGGGCGTGTGAAGTGTGAAGCAGTATATCAGTACATCAATGGCGGGAGTGTGTGGTGAAGGAAGATGCTTCATGGTAGCCAGGAAACAAAGAGAAGTGAAAGCAAGAGCTGTGGTCCCAATCTCCTTCAAGGGCCTATCCCCCGTAGCCCAACTTCCTCTCAGTAGAAGCACAGTAGAGCCACCTCCTAATAGTACCACAGATTGGAGACCAAGGCTCTAACACAACCTCGGGGGTTACTCCAGATCCAAACTACAGTATATATCATGTTTCTCCTACTCCAACACCCCCCTTTTTGTGCCTACTCTGGGGCTTGAACTCAGGGCCTGGGCACTGTCCCTGAGCATCCTTTGCTCAAGGTTAGCACTCTACTACTTGAGCCACAATCCCACTTCCTTTTTTTTTTTTTTTTTGTAATAGTGAGATAAGCATCTCATATACTTTTCCTGC